AATGGTAACACTTTATAATAAGGTTCATTAGTTAACTAACATTAACAAAGATTAATAAACACTGTAACTAATGCATTGCTCATCGTTAGTTCATGTTAGTTAATGCATTTACTAATGTTAACTAATGAACCTTATTGTAAAGTGTTACCGTAGAAATGGACTTTAATATACTGTAATAGATTACTAAATTCTAAATACCTTTTAATTTCTGTATAAAACATAATTGACAGCTATTAAAATGTCTGAAAGAGAATCATAAAGATACTGTAGTTATGAGGATTTTTCTCTAAATCTCTTGGGTCTTTTTGAACACTTGAGAAACACTGCTCACAAATCTAGAGGAATTCATAAAGCCACAGTTTTGATCTAATATTCGTAATGTCTGTGTGTGGAATTTACTCACACACAGATTTACTCTGTCTGTCTTTCTCAAGAAATGATGTGGAAATTGATCAATAATTTCCAATGAGCAGAAGTCATAACTGACACAAAGGGACTAAGTGCTCAGGGACCAGTTCTATTAGATTTTTCATGGTTTTGTGTGTGTGATGCTAATGGCTGAGTGTTGTGGGATATCTTGTGTTTCGCCCACACACACATTCCGAGGTTTCCATTTGCTTCTCCCCACAGAAATGCATCCAGACGTCAAAGAACATGCCGTATTTATCATTTACCAACTGTACTTTCCGGTAAACTTAAGCCAAAACCACAGTCACATACTGTTTTCTTTTCACTTTTTGGTATTTTATATTTTTATGACAGTGGTGGTTAATACCAAATTAGTATGTTTATTGTAGTACAAAAAATAGTTTGGGACTGTTATTTAATAGCCTTTCCTTATAACACTTGCTTACTTATTCATCAGTGTTGGTGATATTTATACAATTTATTAAAAAAATCAATAATACAATTTTCCAATAATACAAGATTGTTTAAATTGCCCATGCAATCATTAAATCTCATTAATTTGATCATTTGTTTTATTTAATAGCAAGAATAGGTGTACAATACCTAGAGAGAGACCCTCATGCACCTCCCACCTCGCTTTAGGGCACAATAATGTGAGTCCAGACCGCTTCAATGATGGACCAGAAACGGGCAACAAACTGCTGTATGTTGGAGGGCTTTTTTAGTTTATTAGTTTGTTGGAGGGCTTATTTAGCTTATTAGTTTGCTGACAATAACAACCAACTGTAGAACAGCAGAGCCAGGCCAGCAGGCTCAGACCGAAGTTGGGGTAGAGCTTATAGCATTATAAAGGGTAGGTTTAGTGCTGGGGTGTGGTTAGGCATTTTTTAAGGTAGAGATTATTGTTGTTATGAGGGTCAGGGTTAGCGGTTGGGGCAGGATACGTGATTGTCAGCACCACACTGAGGCTGCCGGCCTGGCACTGCTGCCCCCAGACTGCTGTGATGTGTGGTTCTGCAGTTCTGGTGCATTGACGGAAAAATAAATTCGATTTAAAGATTAGATAAAAGATTATCGGAACATTCTGCAGCCGAATGTTAGGGTGATCTGTTCACCAACTAAAGGTTTAATTCATTACCAGTGTTGTGCAAAGTATCCAATTATCATATTTAGGAAAAAAGTAAGGATACCCTAATGGATATTGACTCAATTAAAAGCATTAAAGTCACTGATATTAACATTTAAGGAATAAGCATCAAAAGTACAGGTAGATTTTATAAATAATGTCAGCTTATTTGATCGATTTCAGGTTTGATGGTGCATAACATAAATTAACCTTGGGGTTAATGTTCAAAATCATGTTTGTTCTTCTAAACTATAATTCTATAAAAAAACAATAAATTCAACATCACAATTTTTTAAATATTATGTTAAAATGTAATGTAACCTTCTACCTTTTTGGTTAGTTAAAGAATAATTTATGCAATTTAATACATATATTGTTGTTGAAAGAATTAAAAGGGGAGTTTCATGTCTATCTTTGTATTGTTCAACTGGTCTAGATTGATATGGGATTTAGAAAATAATTAAGGGTAACACTTAGGTTACAATAAGGTTAATTATAACGTTAGTTAACTAAAATGAACTAACAATGAGCAAAACATTTGTTACTGTATTGGTTATTCTTTGTTAATGTTAGTAAAAATATAGCTGTATGTTAGAAGATAAATGTTTTTAAATAACAGTTTTATTGTAAAAAAAAAAAAATGTACAGCTACTTTTTGGTTTAACCAAGGAACTTAATTTATTTATAGTGTCTCAGTTTAATATTCAGGGAGGGGTAGGAATGTTTGGAAACAGTCAGTATTTCATTTGGTGCCACTAGTGTCAATGTGTGTGTTTGCTGCTTCTGGAGCATTCAGTTCTCACTCAGTAGGGTTGAGCTCACTATTGTGACATCATTTTCGAGACTTGCACTTGCAGCATTCGGTGTCTAATTGCGCTGTTTAGCTGTGTATTTAGTCAACTGTTTGAGCATTTTGCTCATTTTTTTTACCCAAGTGAGTCCTCCCAAACCACAGATGCTTCCATTGGCAGTTCCTCAGCGTCCCACTCCAGCACCCAATGAACTATTTTCCAACTGACACTCTTCATCCCAAGAGCTTCATCCCAAACGGCTTCCTCCGAACCACACTCCTGCACCCGATGAAGTCGTTTCTCTGTGAACTCCTCCAAGCTGGAAGCCTCAGTCGTTCACTTCTTGCCATTTTGAGTCACCTCCACAATTCATGCTGGTTGACATAGAGGATGAGGAGAACAAGTATGTGGAGTACACAGGGAAGACCAGTGACTACCCAAGTCTGAACACCCTCAAACGCTGGAGGCTGAAATGAAACCGAGAAAGATAGTTGCTTGGTTGGAGAAGGACAGTGTAGGAGCATGTGTGGGGAAGCAAAGTGGTGGAGGTACAGGGATTTGAGGAAGAGGAAGGTGACCCCAGTGAAATGGGAGACTCCAAGGCCATACAAGGCCATGCTTCGGATGATGCCTCTGAGATCGATGATTTCATGATGAAGCCTCTCCTGACGGTCCCAAGAATGAGACCCAGCACAATGGGAACGTCCAAAAAAGGGCAAAAGAAAAATGCCACTTGGTCTGTTCAGTTGGGCACAGAAGAAAGACAAGAAAAAGGAGGAGAAGAAAATAATCAAGGAAAAGGAGCAAAGAGAAAAAGAGTTGTTGCTTGAGCGCTACATGAACGATCTGAAACTGATGCACTTGTGGATCAACAAGCACAACCGCAACTACAACTCCTCCTAATGCAGATCATCATCCCTCTTCACCACATGTGTAAAAATGTAAAAAAAAAAAAAACAAACTAAAAGCTGAAAGATCCATGACTCTTCCTGACTATTAAAACATAAAACAGATGTAATTTAAAGTGAATCAAGTTGAACTAATTTGAATAAATGTTTACCTAGAACAACAGCAGAAAGTGAATCACTCAGTACACAGATCAATGTATTTTCTTTATGTGGATCCTTTCAACCCATTACCTCAATACTTATCATGTAATGTCTCATTCAGAGTCAAAGACAAACACTGTGATCATATAGATCCATATGTGAAGGTAAATACATTTTATTTGCCTATATAGATGTGTTAATTTGGAGTAGTAAAAAACAAACAAAAAAACAAAACAACAACAACAACCTTTTTTTACATGAAAAAAAGAGGTGGCAGCCTTAATGACTGAGTTGAATCCTTCATTAATTTAATTAACCAAGCAATTACTGTATTTAACATAACGGCACGTTTTGGAAATTCGATTATCTTAAAAAGAAATAAAGATAAATAGTTCGTATATTTTTTTCATGGGTAAAAAAGATTATGCTTTATATAGATTTTAAGATTATTTCGCATGAGTGGTACACGGACTCCTAACTGAATCATTTACTCATATGATTCGTTCAAATAGATTCTTTGAGGAATAAAACACCGTTTTGCAACGGTTCTGATGATTGTTCTTATTTCTTTGACGTAGCAAAAACAAACTGCATGTGTCTATGAAAGTTTAGTAGTTTGTTGTTTATTTAATGGTTTTATTAAATCAGTGCCACATACGCTGCTGCAGATATAGGGAAAAATGGCACTCTTGGTTTGGTTGTGTAATAGGCTAACTCATATCAAAGACTTATGTTATAGGCCTAAATATAGGCCTAGCCTAAAAAAAATATGTTTTATTCATTTTGATGACATTTGTTCCCTGCTAATGGTGTGATGGCAGTCCAGGAGAGAGCGCTAAACACTCTTCGCATAACTTTGTCTGTAATGATGCATATGAGACCAAAAGAGATCTGTAGGCCTACCTTCTACGTCTCTTCTGTCCTCTTAGTTCCATCCTGCTGTCCATTTCCTTATATGACATATAACAAATTCTTCTCTTCTAATTTCCACTATGCCCTTCCATATATCTCTTCTCCCACTCATTTTCGAGTGTGGGGTTATGGTTAGGGTTGTTTGCGATCTAGGGCGCCCTCTGCTGCCCACCAACCAACCATAAAAGGCGGTGCCCTGTCAGCTTCACAGAAGTCACCTGGGGGTCACTTTGCTAAGCCTCCCAGTAGCCTACTAATTTAACTAAAGTAAATGGTCCCTCTTATACCCCAGTGTGCACGTAAAGCCAGGTACACACCGGACCTCTGCAATTCTCTCTCATACTCTGTGTGCAAGTGTTGTGTTGGCTATAAAATGTTCCTTTCACATGTGGAAATAAAATCTTTTTGGAAATAAAAAAGGAAAAAAGTCAATCATATGACGACATCTATCTTATAAAAGACGAAATATTAAATAATCACTTCATTTAATGCACCAATCACTGTCATAAGCTGTATAATATCTGTAAATTGATCTCTAAATAAGTTTAAAACAGAATGTCAAGACTTTGTTTTGTCCACAGAATTATTGGGCAATAAATGCATATTTGAGAAACAAAGGCATCAACACGTGATATTATTGTTTCATTTAATTTTATTTACTTATAATGTTAATATTACAAAACCAAAAATGTAAAATCATAATTTATGTGTGGGTTAATTCATGTGTTTTAATAAAGCACACTTAAGTTAAAAAAAATTGGCACAGAGAGAGAAAAACAATGTTGTTGAAGAAATTGTATTATTTCTTATTTATTATAAGCATTGTACATTTATTGTTTACTTAATACAGCATTATTTGAAAGGACACTAAAATAATTCTGACATGTAGTGACATTGAAGTGCAGTGCTGGGTGTAATCTAGGAAACCTCAACCACTGCACTAGATGTATATAGAAATTAAACTGGAAAATAAATTTACAGTCAATTTACAATCAATCAACATTTACAATCAATCAACAATCAAGTTTAGATTTTGATACAGTGCACTTGCACAACTTTCATTGCGATCTAACTACGCGCAACCACTGCACGTTAGTATCGTTCTGTTTGAACAGAAAAAAAAATCTTCCATGTACATAAATTGGTGAATAATTTCAATGCTTATTATTAAGAGACAGTGTATTTAAATAATTTACAAAAAGTATCAAATCAAAATGTCCAGAAACGGCCCTGCTATTACATATCTGTTGTGATGGTTGTTTAGCACGTTTAAAGCTTGCTTGTCTGCCAAAAAGGGAAGATTTTAAACATGAAGTTTATTGACTCATTATATCTTTGTATGGTAATGCATTATTACATCTTTCTCAGTATAGCTCTAAAATAAAAAGTAGATAACATTAATATTTAACATGCTTGGTGGTAAAGACATACACAATGTCACATTTCAGTCCTGCAGTCGCCCATAACCTTTTAGTCAAACAACATTTTGCTGGCCTCCACAAAAAAAAACAACAACTAATATATATATTACTTATTTGCTCCAAAATAAAACTGTCTTAGAGAAACTCTATAGTTATAGTCATAAATCAGCTCATATCACCCCATAAACCCCAGGTTCATTAGATGTCGGGTCACACGAGCGGGTCACATTAGTAGAGGAAATCTTCTCCAGTGGCTGAGGGTTCTTCGGGTTTCTTAGTCTGTATTTTAGGCAGATGTATTCTACTGGAGGCTACTACAAGAATGTTAGCTCCATGTGTTACAGCGCTGGCAACGCACAACCAGAAGGAGAAGCCAAGATTCTCCTCAAGGATCACAAGGGTAAAAAGGCTCTCACGGTAGTTAGCCACATCTTTCGTGAGCTGATGGCACTGAATTGCTGCAAGGAAACACGCAAAGCCCATTGCACTGAACAGAGCTGGGAGAAGAGATTAAAAAAAAGATTTTACAAGTGTATGATTAGAAACTGAAATAAGGAGAGATTCATGATTTGTTATGGTTGATATTGTGGATAGGGTTTATTATCCATGAGGTGTAAAACATTGTATCTTACATTTTGTATTATGTTGACTTACCTGCAATGAAATTCCAGAGGTAGATGCCAAAAGGTCCTTTGATAGATTGATAAGGAACTTTTCTGGCATTGTATATACAGAAAGCTAAACTCAGCACTGCAAAGCCAATAGCAGTGAAAAGGAAGAAGATAATGATCATGTGAAGACCACTGTTGATTGTTTTGATGAGTTTTGGGAAAACTGCAGAATTTGTGAGAAAGAGAGAGATCAGGATTCACAAAATTGGACTTATATTTGAAAAAGCATCTGTACAGATACTGTGTAACAGCATCTATCCGTATCAATCTATCTATCAAATATTGCATTTATTCAATCAAAAGTGAAAGTGTATGTGTAATGTAAAATTACAGTAAAATCTTTGATATTGTAAATATAATATATTTTTTAATTATTTCATTGTAATATATTTTAAAATATTTTTTTTATGGCAAAGCTGATTTTTTTATTTATTTTATCAGCCATACGTCAGTCTTCAGTCTCACGTGATGCTTAAGAAATCTTTCTAATATGCTGATTTCCTATTATTATCAATGTTGAAAACAGTTGTGGCTTAATATTTTTATGGAAACTGTGATACATTTTTATAAAAAAGTTTTTCCCCCATTATATTATATTTATATTTTTTACACATACACAATTTTCCAAGATTCTTGGAGTTCAAAACAACAGCTTTTATTTTAAATAGAAATAGTTTGTAAAAAAAAATGTCTTTTTCTATTTTTTTAAATCAATTTAAAAATATAATACTTAAATAATCTGTAACAAAAGTAGGCCTATTAACTAAAAAAGACAGCAATATCAACAAAACAACTAGAGATACAAATAAAATTCAAAGACCAGTTCTGCTATAGATTAAAATAAATGTGATTCATTATAATACATGCACACTCTAAACAATGCTAGGTTGTTTTAACCCAAAATTGGGTAAAATATGGACAAACACATATGTTAAAAATTACATTTAAAATTATAACCCAACTTTCAATTTCACCTGTACATTTTTTAATTACATTTTTAACCCAACATTTGGGTTTGTCCATATTAGACCCAAATTTGGGTTGAAATAACCCAGCATGTTTTAACAGAGCTCGGATGTTTAATCTATCTAATCAATCAACACGTTAGTGGTCTTACTGTATATTTTAGAGCGGCGGATTCCGAGCCCGCATCTCCGTGTTTTCCCGCCCTGAAAGAGGCCATAGTAAATGTGTCCCGTGAACTGCTCGAGCTCTAAACTAGACGCGTTCACCAGATCTACTCCTGTCTGACACAATGTGGTTCCGGTGACCCAGCGCTCGGTGGACAGTGCTACGACCAGAAGGACCACCGAACCGATGCTGAGTATAGAAGCGAAGGAGAACACTATCTGTTTCCAGAGAGTTGGCATTTCACTACCCCATTCCTCCTATAAAAAGCAAGACGTAACACGACTCCGCGAGGCGTCCACCTCTCCTCGCTACTGCGCGAGCCCACTCTGCTGTAACGTACGGTGTTTAAAACCTTGCGCAAATAGCCTACCGATTAGCAACATGTTTACGGTAAGTTTGCAGCACTAAAAACTAAAACACAACGGAACTAAATTGAAGTAACGCGAGATAGACTGCGTTTGGGAAAGAGCAGGAAACTAGATATAAAGCGGTCAGATGGATCTCATTTACCACCTATCGAAACCTTATACAGTTTACTTGCCCTCGCTTGGTTTGGTTGCTAGAGCGCGCGCGTGCTCCCGCATTCACACCGAGTGTGGGAATTATTACGGGTAATAATTTTGCGGCGAAATTTCGTGAAGTTCATCCAGCGCAAATGAATTGTCAAGTCTTGTAGACGCACACGTAAATCAACCAGCTGTAACAAGGATTTTATAGGATGTCCTTTGCTAGGTCTAATTAATCAAACAGCGCTGGATCCATTCAAATCTATAGGTCATCATAGAAACGGGCGATTCAAAACATTAAATGTCAGTTCAGCCAAGACTCTGCTGGGTCACTGAGCACTAAAATAAAGACAGAAAGGGGAGGGTTTGATAGGAAAGTCACTGCAATTGTACAGCAATAAATGGACTAATGACTTGAAATATACGAACCTGAAATAGGAACATGATATTCGTTTCATTTGGTGCAGAATTCGGGATCCCATAAAAGAACCAAGCCTTTAATTTATTAGTTGCAACAGCCTTAAACAGACTTCAGCACCATGGACAGCTGCAGTCTTGATAGTCCTCTTTGGTTCAGGACCATGGACAGCTCAGCTCGTTCAATAGCTCTGTGGTGCCCTGTAAACACTCCGCCACTAGAGGGGGGTACCTTACCATTTCATTGAGGTGAGCTCTGTGCCATTTAATCAAAGGATTCCTATTGCTTTTCCACTTTAGTTAGTGTCTGTTGAGCATAAAAAGATCTGGAAGCTTACAAAGCTCAACATCCATTACAAAGGGAGATATTTTACTTAACAGAATTCCCTTTTCAAGAATTAAAACTTATTTTATAAACACTGTTCCTGAACAATAAAACCCAAACATTTATCTCTGCACTGCACATTTTATGGAGAACAACTTGTGTAAGCCCTTGCTTTTGTAAGATATAGTTCACTGCTCCGTAGGAAAATCAACCATGGTTTAATGATCGATTACTGTGTGTATTACCTTGCTTTTCTGACAAATATCACGATTAAATAGGGGATACAAAATTCTCCAAAATCCATACAAAAAACATACCACTTGCAAAGTCTGTGCAGAAATCTATTCTGCATGATTCTCTAACGTTTGTTAACATTGTCAGGGTCTGAATCGGACACAAATTAGTTAAAAAACACTGTACCAGCTAACCAATCACAGCACATTTCGTATTTTGGAAGGAGGGGCTTCATCAAAAATGACTTGTTCGAGACAGACTGTGGAGAGAGGTGCTGTAATAATGTAAAATATGTGAAAAATAATGTATTTTTTGAACAATCAAGCATGAAAACATATTCTAATACACCCCAAAAACAAAATCAAGACATCGTAAAAGGGCATAATAATAAGACCCATTTAAAAGATAGGCCTATACTTGTGACAAAAAGAGCATTTCTTAAAATGTACATAAATATATAGTGTAACTATATATATAACATAGTTAACCCATCCTTTGGATGAAATGTTCAACTGAGGTCCTGACTCTCTGTGGTCATTCAAAATCCCAGGATGTCCTTCGGAAAAAGAATAGGGGTGTAACCCCGGCATCCTGGCCAAATTTGTCCATTGTCCTCTGTCCATCATGGCCTCCTAATCATTCCCATATATACAGATTGGCTTCATCACTCTTCATCTCCTCTCCACCAATAAGCTGGTGTGTGTTGGGCATTCTGGCGCAATATGGCTATCGTTGCATCATCGCCGTGGTGCTGTACATTGGTGGTCGTTGAGGAGATTCGCCCTTCCATGTGTAAAAAGCACTTTGACCACCTAGAAAAACACTATATAAATATAACAAATTATTATTATTATATAAAACACAAATAAAAGACAAGTATGCATATCAATCTTCCAATTAAATCTTATGTGATTATTGGTTTCAGTATTTCTAATCTTCATGCAATTTTGTCTGCTCATCCATCATTTTTATCTTTTATATGAATAAAAAATATTCACATTAACAAAAAATATGCTTGAGTAAAATATGCTTGATTTTGACTCTTTCAAATTTTAAAGATGTTAGCATTTTTTATCTGATGTTATTACTATTTATATTCAGTATGGCTAAAGCTGAGAGAAGAAAGGTTACAGAGTTCTTGAGGCATGTCTCAAAACATGTCTTCAATCTATATTGAAATGTATTGATGAAAACTCCTTGTGAAGAACACCAATTGGCTGCATAAACAAAATGTTAGCTTTAGTGTCAGGCGCATATACAAAATGTTCCTGTGTGGTTAAAGAGTCTTGTCATATTGATTGAAGAATGGAGGCATATTGACCAGCTAAATTGCAGCGATGCTCATTGAGGCAACTGTGAATATCAAATGACTACTGTTGTGGTTTTGGACAGGCTTATAGACTTAATGCATTCTGGAATGTTTTAAATGTTTATTATGAAGTTATGATTGGACATGAGTTATGACAAGTGCCTTTATTAATGTAAAATATCTTTTTCTATGTAATCTTGATCACTTTTTCTGCTGTGTTCCACCCATTTTTTATTTTATAATTTTCTGCCCAATCTAACTGAATTCATATCAATCTAACTCCCTACTTCCCGTTTTACTAAATCAACTATTTCTTTTTAGTTCTCACCTTCACATTATGCTCTTTCTTCTTTATCCGTCTATTTTTGTCTTCTTCCCAACACCAATAAGCTTAATGAGATTCAAAGTGCTCTGTAATCAGATTCATTGTTTTGATTACACACTCAGTTTAGCATCTTAACATTTCTTAATCTCTTTGTTTTTCTGCAAAACGGTCAGACGTATTGCATACATTTCAGATTGACCGTGTTGCTGTCCACATTAGAGTTCTCACAGATCAGTTAGAAATGCATTTCCTGTCATGTCTGACTATAGCATTGCCCTCTAAAAGATACCATGAGAGTTTATGCATCACAAGACATTAAGATGTTCAAATGATTAACAGATTGTGAACATGGTGTTTTGGAAGAGATGTTATTAATCTGTGAACAGATGAGGGAGGGGCAACTCCAGTCCCGGAGAGTGCAAGTAGCCTGTCCTGGAGAATTTAGCTCCATTAGTCAAATTCTAATGACAGTGTTCCTCCAGGACCAGAGTTGACAGTATATTCTGTAACATACACTGAAGTGGTTTGCTCTTCTGTACTCTGTGTGGCCAAAACAAAACAAAACAAAACCAAACAAACCCACTACACTCTGTGGACAAAACAAAACAAATCCACTTGTACTCTGTGTGCAAAGCAAGACAAATCCTCTGCATTCTGTGGACAAAACAAAACAAAACAAAACCAAACAAATCCTCTGCACTCTGTGGACAAAACAAAACAAAACCAAACAAATCCACTGCACTGTGGACACAACTAAACCAAAACATTCACTTTCACAACATTCACAAAACAAAACCACTGTACTCTGTGGACAAAACAAATCCACTGTACTCGGTGGACAAAACCAAACCAAACAAAACCACTGTACTCCGTGGACAAAACAAAACAAATCCATTGCACTCTGTGGACAATACAAAACAAATACACTTGTGTGCAAAGCTTCACTTTAATCTGTGAACAAAACAAAACAAAGCAAACAAACAAAAAAAACCCCACTGTACTCTGTGGACAAAATAAAACAAATCCACTGCACTCGGTCTAAAAACCAAACAAAACAAAAACAATGTACTCTGTGGACAAAACAAAACAAATCCACCACACTCTGTGGACAAAACCAAACAAATCCACTGCACTCTGTGGACAAAACCAAACAAATCCACTGCACTCTGTGGACAAAACCAAACAAATCCACTGCACTCTGTGGACAAAACAAAACAAATCCACTGCACTCTGTGGACAAAACAAAACAAATCCACTGCATTCTGTAAACAAAGCTTAAGAAATCAAACTGCACTCTGTGGACAAAACAAAACCAAACAAATCCACTGCACTCTGTAAACGAAACAAAGCAAACCCACTGCACTCGTTGGAAAAAACTAAACAAATCCACTGCACTCAGTGGACAAAACAAAACCAAACAAACCAAACAAATCCACTATACTCTGAGGACAAAACAAAACAAATCCACTGCACTCTGTGGACAAAACTTAACAAATCCACTGCACTCTGTGGACAAAACCAAACAAATCCAGTAGAATAAAACAAATCAAATCCACTGTTATCTGTGGACAAATAAATAAATAAATAACTTTACTCTCTGAGCAAAACAGAACAAAAACCAAATCCATTAAATTTTTTTTTTTATTATTTCCTTATTTGCTAATAGTTAAGTTTTCATACACAATAGAAAGTCATACATGGGTTTATATCCATATGGGTTTATATGGACTGACCCATTCCTTTTTGCTCATGTCAGTTAGGGTATGCACTTATACAATATTAAAAAGGACAAAGTTAAAATGGTCCACAAAAGCAAAGTACTCTCAATGTGTAGACATACAGCAACACTTAAAAAGCACCACAAAACCCACCCTACCACACACCAATCATACTATTATGGATTGAAGACCCTAATGGTCACTTGGTTGAGTAGATGAGGTTGTCTGTATACGGTCAGCAAAAATCCAGTGGACAAACTTCATTAGGTTGGCATCTTAGTCCATTAGACTACTCTCGATTTCAGTCTGCGTTGTTCTAAAAGGCCTTTTTAATACTGCTAAATCTTACTCTAGAATGGTGCAACAAAGCATTTGAGCTTAAAACTAGTCTATCTATCTATCTATCTATCTATCTATCTATCTATCTATCTATCTATCTATCTATCTATCTATCTATCTATCTATCTATCTATCTATCTATCTATCTATCTATCTATCTATCTATATCTATATCTATCTATCTATCTATCTATCTATCTATCTATCTATCTATCTATCTATGGGAAAGTAAGGAATAGGAAAGCTAGTGGGAAAACAAACAGAATATAAAAGGATACTGTTTCTTTTTAAAAATGGCAACGTGATCAAATGTCCATAAAAGAAGGAATGAGTCACTTCTGAAAAGAAAGACCAGTGAGTCAGCATCTTTATCTCTCTCAAACAGCCTGCAGATGATGAGTAAGGACCTATCGGTATCAAAAACCTGCTTTGATTCATGAATAATTTATCAAACACAAAGTACAGTCACACAACATACATACCCACTGCATAACAAGCATCGGCCTACAGGTGTCGTATGGAGGTTTCTCACAATAAAATGAGAAAGCAAAATAACTTGAGGGTTTGAAAAGCCAATAAGTACATTATCAGAAACAGAGTATGCCTGTGTCTGTTTACAATGAACACACATGTGCGCAGACACTCCTGTCCTATTAAGATTTCTGATGCAGCAGACAGCACGTCATCATTGAAGAGCTGCAACATTTTAAACTCTATCGATTAACATGTGCATGAGAGGGCAGGCAGAGCAATAAGTTTTAAATTCATGTCAGTGGTCTCTGGCAACAGAGATGACTGAGCTGCTGAACTGCAGCAAGAGACGTGACACCATCCAAAATCCTCCACTTAAGATAATGAAAATTGCTATTTGTCCTCTTAACAAGGGCAG